TACTGCAGGGCCAGATTCAATGGGGAGAAGATGCTGGAGACGCACTTGGAGATCGAAGCAGACGAGCTTGAAGATGAGGTCCTGCTGCAGGCCCTGCCCTTCTTTGAAAGTCTGGACACGAAGGTGCAGAGGAGGTTGAAGCGAGCAGCTGTGGGGCCACCTGTCGGCGAGGAGCACGAAGAGAAGGCTGCAGCGCAGAAAAGAAAGAAGAGGAAGAAGGCAAGAGCAGTCTTGAAACAAGGGAAGAAGGATCTGCAGGAACTCCTGCAGAAGCACAACAGAAAGGAGATCCTGCAGGGTATGGTCCCAAGTGCAGGTGCTGGCCCTGTGCACACCAAGGCTGCGGCGAAGAAGGCTGCAGCGACGACGGCTGCAGCCAAGAAGCCTGCAGCCGAGAAGGTGGCACCCAAGAAGCCTGCAGCCCTTGAGACTGCAGAGCAGGAGAGTGCAGCCGATGCTGAGCACAAGAGCAGCAAAAAGCATGGAGGCAAGGGCAAGTTGCAGAAGAAGGCCTCCAAGAAAGCCTTGGAGAAGGGGGAGAAAAACAAGGCTTTGAAGAAGGCTCTGAAGCAGTTGGAGGCAGACACAGAAGTTGCAGAGGCTGCCCCCGCCTCAGGGCCCGCTACAGCCCCAGCAGCAGCCTCGGCAGCAGGAGAGGAGAAGCAGCGAGTGCAGGTTGCCTCCGAGCTTGCAGGGAAGCCCTACTACGGCAGGATGGGTGTCGTCGCCATGCAGGCTTGGAAAGGCGGTGCAGAGACACTGCATGTCGACTTGCAGCCTGGAGTGCAGAGCTTCAGGAGAGAATTCTTGCAGGTCCCGAGCCTTTTGCCATCTCTGAAGATGAAGACTATGCAGAGTCTCTCCCGTGCAGACAAGCAGAAGCTGCTCCGTGAAGCGGCTTTGAAGACTCTTGGAGATGATCTTGGAGATGACCTGCGGATGCCGCTTGCAGATGGCAGTTGGCTCTTGGACCAGCACATGTCTCTGGGCTGGCAGTACCTGAAGTGGAGCCTGCCAGGCCTGGAGAAAGCAGAGATCACCTGCATTCGTGCAGATGTTGTGCAGGCTTTCACAGCCCTTGCAGACCCGACAACCGAGCTGCAGGGCTTGGGAGATGCAGAGTGGCTGCTCTGTGCGAGCCAAATGCAGGAGCAGAGGAAAGCCTTCCTGCAGCAGGAGCTGCAGAAGGACTTGATCTTCGTGCCGATTTATGCAGGGAGCCACTGGACCTTGCTGCAAATCTGCAGATTTGGAGCCCTGCAAGTCAGATACTACGACTCACTGCAGGAGGAGGCTGCAGGAAACAGACGTGTTGCAGAGTTCTTTTTGGACCATTTTCTGCAGATGCCAATGGCAGAAAGATGCAATGCAGCAAGACAGCCTGTAGGGACAGGGCAGTGTGGCTCCTACTGCCTGCAGTGGATGGAGACGGCATGCAGGCAGGCTCTTGGGGACTCTAACAGCCTGCAGTGGCCCTCAGCAGTGGCCTGGGCTGGAAGGCTGCAGACTCTGTGCAAAGCACTGCAGAAGGAGCAGTCCATGATCATGGACACGAAGATGAAGGCTGCAGCCAAAAAAGCACTCCTTGAAGTCAATCAGAAGAAAGCTGCAGCGAGCAAGAAGAAGGGTGAAGAGGACATGAAGAGCCTGTCCAAGAAGGCTCTCGAAGACCTGCTGAAAGATCCTGCAGGCAAGCCCTGCTTCGAGAACTTGAGTCTGCAGGCTCAGGCACAGGTGTTGAAGGTGATGGAGGGCTTCACTGGAGGCACCTGCACCAGATGCAGGGAAGGAGATGGGTGCCTCTCCTGCAGCCG